ACAGTGCCTTGAGTCGGTTCTGACCCATGGCGACCCTGTATAGGGTTTCCAAGGAGTGGCCTGTGAGGTTAAATTGCCAACCTTATGGTTTGAACCGACTTTGCAGTCTAGTGCATTAACCCACAGCACCACAAACTCAGCTATTTGTTGTTGTTAGGTGCCATTGAGTTGGTCCCAACTCACAGCAACCCTGTGCACAATAGAACGAAACACTGCCCGATCCTGGGCTAACCTCACAATTATTGCCACACACGAGTTCATTGATGCTGCCACTTGGCCAATCCATCTCGCTGGGGTCTAGCCCTTTTTCTCTGACCCTCCTCCTAGCTGACCGTCCACTCAGCTACAGAGCCATGCAAAGTCAGATAGCAGGGTTTAGGGAGCCGGAAAGGAGGCCTAGTGGCATAGTAGGTTAAGTGTTGGGCTGCAAGATTGGAGGTTCAAAGCCACCAGCTTCTCCAAGGGAGAAAATGAGGCTGTCTGCGCCCCTAAAAATGTAGCCTTGAAACTCCTAAGGAGCGATTCTACTCTGTTCTACAGTGTCACTTTGAGTAGGAATTGACTCAGTGGCAGTGCATTTGATTTGGGTTTTGGATTAACTCAGGGATCCCTGATGGTATCGTGGGCTCATCACCCAGTTAACTAATGCACTAGATTGCAAAGTCGGTTAATGCAGGAACCCACAAGTTGCTCCACTGAAAAAAGATGTGACCATATACCCTCCATAAGATTTACAGTCTTGGAGACACTGCGGGCTAGTTCTGCTCTTATCAGTCAGAATCAAAGCAATGGCCACAGGTTTGGTTTCACAGGTTTTAATCCAACTCCATACGTAACAAAAGAAGAAGACATTTCTAGAGAAGCAGAAACTTTCATGTTTAATATTGTTAATTACAGGGAATGGGAAAAAAAGAAATCCTTCTTTTGTGTTTAATAGTATTTCCAGGGCAGGGAAATGATTCGTTCTTGACAGCAATCTGGCAGTCTAATGGAAGCTTGAAGTCTTAAATCAGTTGTGTCAGATCAGGCTCACATTCATTGTTGCAGGACATCTAGGGACGTCCGTGTGCTATGGGAAAGGAAGTTTCTGTGTGGGGCACCCATCTTTCTGTGGCATTATTCACACTCCACCCTGGACATTGGAGATGTGTTCACTCTGAGTTCATGCACAGATCTAGTGCTCTCTGGCCCAGCAGCAGTTCTTGGCACTTTATCTGTTTCTAGAAATATTTTGAACCAAGGGCCAATTTGGTATGATTGCAGCTCACTTGTGAACCTTCATTTCCAAGGAAAACTCTCTCTTCCTTTCTGTGTCCTTCTCTCTATACCTTACATATGTGTACATGACAAGGATTGAAAGGGGTAATGAATAGTGGAGATAAAAATGGAATTTTTCCGCCAACTGTTTGATGCCCTCTCGTGTGTGTGTGTGTGTGTGTGTGTGAGAGAGAGAGAGAGAGAGAGAGAGAGAGAGAGAGAGAGAGAGAGAGCGCGAGAGAAAGAAAGAGAGAGATTTCCTGAATCATACCAGAATAGCTTGGAGATGTTATGCAACTTTGCTGTTCAATACTGTATTGAATATGTATTTCCTAAAGCCTTAAAAAAAACTATCTCATAGAAGCACAATGTGGCATTAACCTGGATGCACTGTTGATCTTTGCTATAATCTATTTCAAATTGCATTAATTCCCCCCGTCTCCCCTTCCATACATACATACTTTATGGCCCCTTTAAAGAGCCTTGGTAATGTAGTGGCTTACTAGCTGGGCTGCCTATTGTAAAGTCAGTGGTTCGAATCTGTCAGCCACTCCATGGAAGGAAGATGAGGCTTTCTGCTTTTGTAAAGATTGACAGCCTTGGAAATTCTATACAAGGTAACTGAGTTGGAACCAACTCGATGGCACACAGCCACCACCACCATCAGTGCCCTTTTTAATGAGCCTGGGGGTTACATGTTGGGTCGCTCACCACAAGGTCAGCAGTTCAAACCCACCAGCCACTCCAGGAGAGAAAGATTCAAAATTGTTTGCTCCTGAAAAGATTTATACTCTCAGAAACTTAAAGGGACAGTTGTACCCTGTCCAGTAGGGTCATTATATGTCAGAAACGACTCAGTGACCATGAGTTTAAAGTCCTTTTTAAGTTGTGCAGTAGGCCCAGTGGTTAGGCACCCATCTGCCAGTGGAAAGGTTGGTGGTTTGAACCCACTAGAGGTTCCTAGCTATCTGCTCTTATAAAGATTATTTGTAGTTGTTGATGTTATGTGCTGTTGAACTTGGTTCCAATTCATAATGACCTTTTATAGGGTTTCTAAGGAACGGCTGGTGAGTTTGCCCTGCCGACCTTGCAATTAGCAGTCCGGTGCTTATCCTGTGTGGCACTGTAGGATGAGCACTGCACTGCAAACCACAAAGCCAGCAGTTCAAAGCCACCAGCTGCTCCTTGGAAACTCTATACAGGGTCACTGTGAGTTGGAACCAACTCAATGGCACTTAACACACCAACAACTTGCTCTACAATGCCTAGCAAATCCTATGGGCTTGGTATGAGTTAGAATTAACTAGAGAGCACACAACAAAAGCTGTGTCCCTTTATCCCTACCCATCTGGAGTCCTGGTGTGGCTCTGTGGGTTAATGCGCTGAACTGCAAAGTCAGTTTAAACCTTAAGGTCGGCGGTTCAAGCTCACCATTCGATTCTCGGAAACTATTCAGGATTGCTATGGGTCGGAACCAACTCAATGGCACTTAACAACAATAACAACAAATCTAGAACCCTAGCCAGGCTCAGGCATAGCTCTCCACTGCCATGTCTGGTTGTTGTTGTTGTTGTTGTTAAGTGCCGTGGAGTCGGTTCCGACCCTTAGCGACCCTGTACAGGGTTTCCGAGGCTGTAAATCTTTATGGGAGCAGAAAGCCTCATCTTTCTCCCGCGGGAGCGGTTGGTAGTTTCGAACTGCTGACCTTGCGGTTCTCAGCCCAATTTGTAACCACTACGCTACCAGAGCTCCTTGTGTCTGGTTAGGAATAGCTTTTTCACCTAGTCTAGATGACCACACATCTCAAAATTAGTCCTGGCTATTTGCTCCATGTGTAGTGGTTACGAATTGGGCTGTTAACCTCAGGGTCAGCACTTTGAAACTTTACAGCCTCAGAAATCCCGTACAGGATCGCTGTGAGTCGATACCAACTCCGCAGCATACCACCACCACCACCGCTGCCCACCCTCCTCTCACCTCACCCACTTCACCCGAATCTCAGTCCTACAGTCACTCTTCCTCCTGAAGCAGCAGTGGCTTAGACAGTGAAGACGGTGGGATTGCCAGAACCCCAAATTAGAAGCTTGTAACAGAGAGCAGCTTTTTAGGTAGCGAATAGAGTATCTATTCCAACTCACAGCAACCCTGTGTAGGGTTTCCGAAGAGCAGTTGGAGGGTGTGAACCACCAACCTTGCAGTTAGCAATCCAGTCCTATAGTACCACACCAGGATTGCTAACCACAAGGCTGGCAGTTCAAATCCACCAGCTGCTCCTTGGAAGCCCTACATGGGATCTCTGAGTCAGAACCAACTCAACAGCAACAGCATGTATTCTTGCTACCAAAAAAGAAAATGCTGGTAAAGGTTTATATCTATCTCTAGCTAGAGATAGAGAGATAAATATGAGCCCTGGTGTCGCACTATGGGCTAATACACCAGACTGCAAAGCCATTCGGTGGTTCAAACCCTCCAACTGCTCCTCGGAAACCCTACACAGGGTCGCTATGGGTTGAAACCGACTCAACGGCATTTAACAACAACAATAACATATACTTCATATATATATGTCATGTATGGAGCCCTGGTGTAACGTCATAGGAAAAGCACTCTACCTCAAGGTCGGTTTAAACCATAAGGTCGGTGGGTCAAAGTCACCAGCCTCTCCTCGGAAACCCT